GGAGACTGTTTTATTCGCATGTGGAAGACGGGTGCGCTCAGTTAGGCACGTAAAGTCCTGTTTTTTTTTTTTTTTTTTACTTTTTGTCCGGTACTATTTTTTTTTCTCCTTTTTTTCTATTCTCTTTTTTTTTTTTTTACCTTCTCTTTTTCCTTTTCACACTCACATGTATATGAAAAAAACCAACAAAAAATTCATACTAATAATGAGCTTGTTGAACCGAATGAAATAATAAAATATATTTTCCTTAATGATATAATAGATAATTAATAAAATTAAATTATATTATCACCTTGTCAATTAGTATAGAGGGCTAGCTACCAACTGCTATTTAGGGTAGATGAAAATTTACGTCCACTTTCTATCTATTATTATTGTTACCATCATCATTTTGGACATGTTGTGATAGTGGTCGAAAAGTAAACACAAAAATTCTGAAGTGAATGCAAATTTAAGGGTGTTTTCTATTTTATGTTTTCTAATTTTTCAGTTTTCATTCTTGTTTATTAATATTTATTTTTTTAAATTAAGGCTATAAAATCAATAAAAATTTAATTTCGAGTAATATGATGACATCTCGGTTAGCATTTCAAATGGATGGTCATAAGTTTGAACCCCGGTGGTGGGAGTTTAGATTCTTTGGGTTGAAAACGTTTGAGAAAGAATATAATATATACTACCTTGTAAAGAATCATGAGTATTTCAAAAAAAAAAAACATAGAATAAATATAATTTTTACTTTTAAGTCCAATATATGTAAGACTTTTATATTTGATATCCAAACTAAATTTATATCTGTATATACTTAACTAAAAATATATCCGAACCAATAACCTATTAAGTTTACCTAAAATTTAATTTAGATAATATTAATATTTTTGAGCTAATATTTAAAATCTTTTTGGATATATTCATTTAATTTGAATGATATGCATATAAAATTATAAATATATAATTTTTACTTTGAATTCTAATATAGCAATATATGTGAAATTTCAATATCCGATACACGGATCAAACTTGTATTACCATATAACATAACTAAAAATATTTGAACCAATAATCAATTAAGTTCATCAAAACATAAAAGTTGATATAGAGTTCATTTTTAAATTTTGATTGTGTGTATAATGTCTAACTTTAAGCATAAGCAAATAAGTTATGTTTAAATAAGTAATGCAAGTAGAAAAAATAAATGATGGTGATAAGTAAAAGAAGAAGATAATGAATGTAATCATAGTAATGAATAAATATGGTAAGTGGATAATGGCGAGAATATGGTTATATTGACATATAGCCAAATAGATGATAGATGATTCTGTTTTCTATTTAGAAAACAGTATTTAATAGTTTTTTAGTTTTCTAGAAAACTGGAAAATTGTTTTATGTTTTCAAAATGGAAAAGTGGAAAACTATGTTAATAAACATGTTTTTTGTTTTTCAATTTTTCAGTTTTTCAGAAAAATTGAGAAATTTTCCAGTTAGTAAACGGGCCCTAAGATTTTTGTTTTTAATGCCGTTGAAGCATATATTATAGGGTGGTAATATAAATTTGAAAATTGAAGACCAAATTCAAGGTGCAATTTGACTTCTTTTTTTTTTTTTTTTTTTTGAAAGGAACAAAACTAATTAATTCATTAAATCATAAATTGAAACGTTCACAATAAGATTCAATAGAATGGTAAGCCATTTCTTATCGTATGATATAGAAACATTTTCATGTTTATGCGACAAAAAACTTGATTCGCAGACTGTTTCACAAATTGAAAGTTGAGGTCCTTGAAGGAACTTAAATCTTTTTTAAAGTCATTAATGATCTGACGAACTAACTCTTTATAATGATCAAGGTGCAATTTGACATAATAATTAAATTTGAGGGATAAAATTGAAATACTAAAACTATAATAAATATTGTTATGTTTCGTTGTGAATATGTTCATAAGCCAAAGACATTGTAGTCAAGCGGCATGAATCGACTCTCCTAAATGGGAGGTCATAGATTGAGAAAGTATATATGAACAGATAGTACATGTAAAAGGGTCAATAGTACTAAAAAAAAAAAAAATTGTTCATAACATATGGAAGTAGTAGCCGCAATCCTCAATCACGAGGGATTTAGTCGACTTAACAGCGCGTTTGGTTCACGAAATGAATTTTGAGGTAATAGGAATGCTATTCCATAAGGAATGGAATAGGCAATGAATAGAATATGAATTGTATTCTATTGTTTGGTTCGCGGAAGGAATAGACTTTAGGATTATATTACAGTGTTTGGTTGATTTAAGGAATAGAAATGAAATATGTTTTAAAAGACATAAATACCCTTATAAAAATATGTGATGGTGGCGGTGGTGGCGATGGTGGTGGTGGTGGCGGCGACGGCGGTGGTGGTGTTGGGGTGGTGGTGCTGGACTGCTGGTGCTGGTGGCGGCAGTGCTACTGGGGTGTTAGTGCTGGTGGGGTGGTGGTGGTGGCAGCGTTGGTGGTGGCGACGACGACGATGGCGATGGTTGCGGTGCTGGTGGTGACGACGACGACGGTGGCGATGGTGGTGGTGAAATAAGAAATTAATTTAACTGGGGGATAAAATAGGAAATAGAAACTTTAGGCTATTCTTGAAAACTCAAGAATAGCCTAATACCATGGGGGCCCAAGAATCTCTATTCCCCTTGCAAGGGAAATAGGTCATTCCCGGGAACAATGTTCCTGAATTACAAGGGGTTACCAAACAGAGGAATATGCCTATTACTAGGAATGCTATGTCATTCCAGGCCTATTTCGTGAACCAAACAGCCCATAAGTGTTTTATTTGACAATTTTTCAAAACAAAAAATAACCATCACTCCTAAATATGCAAATTTGTGTTCCTTTTTTAACAAAAAATTAAATAACGTTTCTACGAGGAAGTAATTAAGGTGTTTGAAAATGAATTGAAATTTCAAATCTCTCCACCACCACATATAATCAACAAAAATTTTAGAAATTTTAATTAAAAGTTAAATATTTCCAACTATCATAGTGGTTAGGATAGAAATTTTGAAACAAAAAATGTAATTACTTTTCTAACCACCCCTAGGTGGTCAAAATTTTCGAATAAAATGCTTTGACTAACTTGTTTCACAAAAAAATTACTCCGTATAATGTTTTGACCAACAAGGTGGTTGGAAGTTAAAGAAATCATTTGATAATTAAGAAAATTTAAATTTTTTGTTGATATAAAAAGTGAACAAAGTTGTCTAAGAACTTGCGTTCTAATGGCACCCGGGTTGGACTCCCATAAGGGAGGTTATGAGTTTGAGCCTCAGTATGTTGAGAAAGTAGTTTTGAACAGATATTATATTGTAATAGAGTCCGTAGCATAAAAAAAATGAACAAAGTTCGTAATATTTGTTTAATGAGTTAATTTCAGCAATGGTCCTCCGACTATATTAATTTTTCAAATTAGTCCCCGACTTTTAATTTGAACACTTTACGTCCTTTGACTTTCAATTTCTTTTCAATTGAGGTCATTTTGTCAGATTACGGTAAAAAGTTTGTAATATTTTTTTAATGAGTTAATTCCAGCAATGGTCCTCCGACTATAATGATTTTCCAAAATTAGTCCCCGACTTTTAATTTGGACACTTTATGTCCTTTAACTTTCAATTTCTTTTCAATTGAGGTCCTTTTGTCAGATTACGGTAAATAGGACTTTAATTGAAATGGTAAAGTAGTCATTTCATCTGCCTAATGTATAATTCTTCGTATTTCTCCCTTGTATACGCGACTTCGGACATCAAATCCACTTAATTGCTTAATTCCTAAATTCACTCGAAGAACAAAATTCCATTAGAGAACTAATATTCTTATCACTATAAAACTAATGGATTGTAGCCCCACCAGACATATATTGTGGTTTACTTCATATCTCTGTTTTCGTTTTTCAATTTTACATTTCTTCAATTTTTCATTTCTTAGTTTTCCATTTTTCAAGGGAAAAAAAAAGGATTAGAAATGTTGTTGCAATGAATTGAAGTGTGAATCTACTTTCTCCATTTCTTTAAATTTGGAGAATTAGTTAAATAGATTCTCCAAATTCTAGAAAAATGGAGACCCCCCAATTCTCCAATTTTCAATTTGAAAAAGTAGTTTTAGTAAACAAACTTGCATGTTCCATTTCTCCAATTTTTTTTTTTTCATCTTTCTTGAAAAAAATGACTCATTTATCAAGTTACTAAACCCAAAGTGTTTAACTTTAATTTTCTTCCCTAAAGGTCTAACGCAATATTCTTTTTAACATGATGCATCTCTACAAAAATTTATTACTAAGTATATGACTTTACAATTGCATTATTAATAGCTCTTAAACTATTATGTTATGTTGTATAATTTATTCAACTTCTCGGGCTGTTAGGTTTTCATTAGAAGCCTCTAATGAAAACCTCTTTCCCCAAACAAATTCAACTAAATAGGTAACATTTTTTTTTTAATGATACACTAAGTTTTCCAATTTATGCTAGAACTACTTATGTCCAATCTGTTTCTAACTCTACCTGAACACTATGTGCACAACGAGTTTTCATCACTTCTGATCACTTTACCATGTCGATTGAGCAATGGTGGGCAACATATTACTTTTTTTTTTTATATATTTATATCACTGTTGTAAAAATTGGCCTAGGCGGCGCCTAGGCGCCCCTAAGCCGTTCCGCTTTCACTATTAGGCCCCCAAAAATCGGTCGGGCGCCTAGGCGGTGGAATCGGTCAAAATCGACCTAGTCGGCCAACTCTGCCGAGTCGGTCAATTTCGTCCGATATTGTTTGGTTTAGCTGTCTGTAGAATAATTTGATACTTTGAATCTTTGGATGATTGAACTATTTGAGTATTTTTATTTTTTTTTAATATTGTTTTGATGTTATGACTTGTGAATTATCGTTATTTCATTTATTTGGATGTGGTACTTGAAGGTTGAAAACAATCTCATTAAAATTGTCAAACTGTAAGTCTTCTATTATTTTTTTGCACCCGTCTAGTTGCCGGGACGCCCGACTAGCGTCTAGGGCCTAGTGCAACCATGATTTATATATAAGAGTAAGCTATCTCCGATGCACGTAAACAAATACATTTGTATTAGAAAATGGTCGTTTTAGTCCCTCAATTGTGCCATAATATTTCTCTTGTATACAAGGAGAGTCACTCCAAACACTAGAGTGCGACCTTAATATCTCCCTTGCCTTCTTCTTCAAACGCACTTCACAATCTGCTTGAAGAACCATGCAAAGCTTTGACACAGCTCCCACCCTCAACATTTCCAGAACCACCTCTTTCGTCGCCGAGCATTTCGAGATCGCCGCCAGAATCTGCACCGCCCAGTCGTCCGTCGCCGGAGAAACCGTCAGCGTCCGTTTGGACACCACGGCTATAGCCCCCGCATGTTTCAAGAAAAGCTGTCTCCCCTCGGCTAGAGAACACAGATTAGCCAACAGGCAAAACACCAGCTCGCTAATCCTTTTTCCAGGGCTGCTTAATTCCAGTTCGATCAGCTCGAAAATCGCCCCGGCTTCGATGATCTTTAATCTGTTTCTTCCCCATTGGCAGGCGTGTATGAGTACATGCAAAGCGTCTTTTGTGGTTTGTTGAGTGATGGGTTTGGTTCTGAATCTTCTGATGAGACTCACCATTGTTTCCGAGAAAATTTCTTGGTTTAGTCCCTCCAGGGAACTGGAACTGGAAACCTCTGTGATTATTTTCATGGCCGCCATTGCTTGGGTTTTGAGTTGATCAAGAATGATTTCTGTTTTTGTGTTCATAATCCGTAATATAGGTGGGATAAGATCTCTATGGTTTTGGTTCACAATTGACTTATTTTCCTCGGATGGGGTCCAAACAAGACAAAAGATCCTCAAAGCCTGTTCGAGGCCGCCTGGGATTTCACTTTCCTTAAAGCTTTTAACTATGAACAGAATCATGGAGTTTACCACGTCGGATTCCTCCATGCACTTCCGGTTCTTCTCCTCCGCCGCGAGCTCCTCCATTTGGTTCAAAGATTTCATGAACGTCTGGGGGTTATTCAAGTCGCGGATAAGCCTGTGAAGGCGAGAGTTAGTGAGAGGCGATTTGGGAGAGGGGAGGCGATCGATCCCTTTGTCGGAGTTGGCAATGCACCAGGCTTGGATGAGGCGGCGGAGCATGTGATTTGGGGTCAACTCGGCGGCGGCGTCCCTCGCCAAAGGCTGCTTTGTCACCGGGCAACTCGCTTCCTCCGCCGCCAACAACCACCGTGTGATGCTTTCCCGGTCGTACGTGATGCCTGTCACCACCGTGACCGGATCTTTCATGATTTGAAGAGATATGGGGCATAAGAAATATTGAGGTATCTCAACTTCCTCCATTTTTTAAGATAACGCAAGTATGAGAGAGAGAGAGAGAGAGAGAGAGAGAGAGAGCAGAATATAAGAGAGAGAAAAAGTGAGAATATATCAAGAGATAGCGGCTTATTTATATGCGCAAGTAGTTTTGAATTTTTTCATTTCCTTAATTTGTATTTAAATTATACTTTTTAAAGAAAAAGCACTTATAAGGTGCAAATATCCACGGGGCACAATCACGAAGTATTTTTCTCACAATATCTAATACAGTCATTTTTATTATTTAGTTCAAACGAAGATACTTCTATTATGAAAAAACTCACATTCGTTACTTGAAAGCGCGTTTTGGGTGAATCACTTCTTGCCTTGACAAAGAATTACAAGAAAGTAAATAAGCCTAACGTCACGGGCCTAGAGTCCGGCATAGCACCCGTGCGGTATCCTGGGCCCCTCTTACCTTGCATGCGGACCAGACTTACCCCTCATACGTGCCAAACAGGTTTCGTCCTCATCAGGCAAACAGAAAGAACTCCCGACTAGTTGTGCCTTTCGAATTGCCTCGGTCCCCTTCAGAGTCATGTTCAAGACTAGCAACAAGTTACTTAAACTTAATTGGGTCGGCATGCCTGACTCAACCAGACATTAACGTCTAAGGCAGAACAACCCTTAACACTATTGTTGCTCCCTACCTATTTTATGACAAGTTAGCCAATTAACCCGTTCATTTATTGGGTCTAACACGGTCACACAAACAATGCGTGACACTAGATTGTCTATAACTAATCAACTCAAATTAAGAAGGTTGAGAGTTAAATTTGAAATCTTATAGTTACCAAATCAATTGTCTAATTAACAAACTCGATAAGGAATTACACTTTTGGTGAAGATATTTGATCTAATCAGATATACATAGAGATGGTTGTATCAATACAAATTCACATGGTGTGGTTGATGTGCACATCAGAATATTCATTTTTTTTTAGGTGTGTTTAGTGGTCAAAGTTGTTGAAGTTTGATTTTGTGGTCAACCCTCACGAGACAGAAGTTTAAGGCAATTGGGACGGTGTAAGCTCATGGGAGGGCAGTCAAAGTGAGGGGTGGGGCCGGGTGAGTGGACAGTGCGGGCGGACATGGCAACCCAATTACGTTTCTGAGTTTGAAAATTTGTCATAAGTTGGAAATCTTTGAATTTGGCTAATCGTATAACGTGGGATGAGTAAAAATAATAATGATTCACATTTCAGATATGCATGCATGCATTAGCCCATGCCGTGCTATTTACGATTACAACTTCACAAATATAGTGATCAATTTTGTAATGATTTGTGAAAGAAAATTACAATTACTCATATATATATATATATATATATATATATATATATATATATATATATATATATATATATATATATATATTGGTTACTGTGAGAACATAGTCTTCCCGTATGGTCGGCATACACTATTAGATATGCATAAATGTACCATACATTCGAGAATACACCAGAATGAAATGCTAAAAAATGCACCACAAAAAAAAAAAAAAAAATACACCACACATAATGGTATATTTTCGAACACTGTGTGGTGCATTTATGCATAACTAATGGTGTATGCTGCACTGACGACACGGGAAGACCTGTTCTCACAGGAACCTGACTATATATATATATATATATATATATATATATATATATATATATATATATATATAGACACACACACACACAAGGTCCTTCACGTGAGAAGGCTAGACAAATTATGTTGTGGACCTGAGTCCATGGTGAGAAGGCTCTCCCATAGTCGGATTTTGGATCGTGCAAGATTGGCAACATCACATGTCTCAATTTTAGAGGGTCTAATATTTATTTTTGACATAGTTACTTAAGAAATAAAAAATCTACAAATAATTGTTAATCACATCATTTTTTTTCCAAATCACTTATCTCTCCGAATAATTAGGACATAATTAATTGAGCGTGACAAAATCATTCTGTAACTGAAAAGAAGAGTCATATATTTTACAGTATTGGTTTTAAAGATTGCGCTTATACTTTTGGTAGGGCCTCATTTATTTATAAGAATAGGACCATAAAAATCTAAAAACCGGCCCTGGGCTCTCCCAGATAAAAATGAGCTGAGATTTGAGTCGTTGATCTAATCTAGATCAGTGTCTCAAACCGAAGGAAAAATAAAAAATAAAAAAAATAAAAAAACGCGCTTCCTGCCAATACGCTTCCTCCCAATATGCATGCAAATGATCAACTTTCTCAAAATGATGTACCTTAAGATATAAAACTACGCACTTTAAACTATAAAACTATGCATCTTAAGCTATAAAATTACGCACTTAAGTTTTAAATTGATGCACCTTAAACAAGCTAGAAAAGTGACGCACTTAAGCTTTAAACATATGCACTTTTTTTTTTTTGAAAGCAAATAGGTGACTATTATTACTGCAGTAGCAAAGAAACAAAGTCAAGCGGGACAGTGTCCCAAAACATAGTACCAGCCTGAGTAACAGCTTTAGAGACCTGAGCAATGACATTAAGCTGTCTAGGAATTAAAGATAACGAGCAATTAACTAAAGCGGCCAGCATGACCTTGCAATCCTCAATGACCACACCAACATACGATCTAGGAGTGCTCCCCAAGCTAATGACATAACAATGGAAGACCGAGCAGTCTGTGTGAAACGCTACCAAACCAACCGCCCGATCACAGACCCAAGACAATGCCTCCTTGCAAGCTAAGGCTTCAGCCGTGAGGGCATTCACCGTAACCGGCAGAGGTCCACAAGTGGCAGCAATGAAACCTCCTTCGGCCGAGAGCAAGGCCGCTCCGTTATACGGAGCTCTCGAGTCCTGTGGAAAGCCGCGTCGACAAAACAGCGAAGGCCGTCCGGGGTGAGGTGCAGCAGTGCATGTTGCTGAGCAGGTTGCTGCACTGGTGGTACAGCCGCGGCAATGGCTGCGTTAGCACGCCTCCAAACACATGACGGATGCGGAAGTCTTGCCTCCCAAATCGCCCCGTTTCTTGCAGTCCAGATTTGATATAAAACTGCAACCACTTTAACGAGGATGTATGTCGTTAATGAATCCATCGCACTTTGAAACCACTCAGGAAAATCTCCACCAATAACACAAGCAATAGGTAGATGGGACTCATGCCAAACAAGTTTTGAAAAATCACAATCAATGAGTGAATGCATAATATCTTCATGTAACAAATCACACATGGGGCATGACGGGTTAACATTCACTCTCTTTAAAAGGAGGGTAGTAGTGGTGGGTAGAATACCACTAATAGCTGTGCTCCACAAGAACGTTTAAGTAAGATTGGGGGGGGGGGGGGGGTGTTGAATTCACCCATAATGGTCCTATTACCACTTTTCACAGAATATGAGCAACTTGGCTCTCTATTCCAATACCACGAGTCCTCATAAGGTGGGCATACTGGCACCCTCAATATACGATTCACATCTCCCGGATTAAATATATCACGAAGAATAGATAAATCCCACGTGTGAGTTTCCTGATCAATCAAACCAGAAACCCTGGACCCACTCAAATGCTGCGGCATAGGGGGTACTTAGTAACGGGTCAGCATCCAAAATCCATGAATGACCCAGATCATAGTGGTCTCTCCATCCCCAATCCCCCTCCTAACTCCTCCACAAACAAGATCATGGGCTGCCATAATACTCCTCCAACAATAATTGGGATTATTTCTTATCGTAGCATCAAAGAAAGAAGTCTTAGGAAAGTATCTTGCCTTATACACACTAGCAGCCAGCGAGTCAGTCTTTGTGAGGAACCTCCAAGCTTACTTGCCTAACATAGCCAAATTAAAAGCTCTCAGATCTTTAAATCCCAAAAACATACGCACTTTAATTTTCTATACTTTCTTAATCTTTTTTCGCCCAAAGAATCAATATCTTATCACCAGAGTTTGGTCTTGATTGTGACCACTCATTTAAAATGGTAACAAAGGTACCATTACACTACATAGTAATTGTGATGTTAACACGTCCTTAATTCAAGTAGTGGAACATGTGTATATGAAAATTAGTAAGGTACTGATACATTGCTAAAGTTTTAACACTTATACTAGTGCAATCGACCCTAATACAAATTAACACACACACACACACATATATATAGTCAGTTTCACGTGTGGTCACGGACTATTATGCATGGTTGCAGTAGGCGCTAGGCGCTAGTCGGGCGCTCGGACAGCGCCTAGCCCCTAGGCGGGCGCCAAAAAAATAGTGGTAGACTTGCAGTTTGATAATTTTAATGAGTTTGTTTTCAACATTTAATCAAATAACACGTCCAAATAAATAAATTGATGATAATTTATAAGTCATAACATCAAAACAATGGTTTAAAAAAAAAACATTAAAATAATATTAAAAATTAAAAATACTCAAATATGAAATACTCAAATACTTTAATCATCCAAAGATTCAAAGTATCAAACTAGTCTACGAGTGTATATATGTCATATTATATATATGTATGCGCGCGCACACACACACATATAATAAAAAATAGGCCGAGTCGATCGGGTTAACTCGACCGAAATGGACAAGTTAACTCGACTAACTTAGACGCTAGGCGGCCAAATCGGCCGAGTTAGGCGCTAGGCGGACGCCTAGGCGGCCGGTAACCTAGACGGGGCGCCTAGGGGGGAAATCGCCACGGTCTAGAGGCGCCTAGCACCTAGGCGGGCGCCTAGACCGATTTTTACAACCCTACTATTACGTAAGCATAAATGCACTACAAAGTGTTCGAAAATATACCATTAGGTGTAATGCATTTTTTGGTGTGTGGTGCATTTGTGCATTTTATTCTGGTGCATTTTTCGAACACTATGTGATACATTTATGCATACCTAATGATACATTTTACACGGGAAGCCCTGCCCTCATTTGGACCAGTATATGTATATGCCTAATGGATGATGCACCTTAAGTTTCACACAACTGACGCACCTTAAGAAGGAAAATAACGCACTTTAAGAAGGAAAACCACTGCACGCACATTAAGTTTCAACAACTACTCACATTAATCACAAAACCCATGCACCTTAAACACAAAATCCCACGCACCTTAAGCACAAAAATCACGCACCTTATGTTTCAATAACTACTCACATTAAGCACACAACCCACGCACCTTAAATTTGACCTAGATATAAAAATTACTAAATTGCCACCGCAATTTTTTTAAAATTTTGGTAATCTTAACGTTGATTAAAGCAAGATCAATGGTTCAGATTTAACCGCACAACCGCACAAGAACTGAATTTTATATATATATATATAGAAGGGCGCGTTCAGGTGCGAACTGTCCGCCCAGGAAAGAAATGAGAACGCATGCCATCCGTCCACGTGTCCAGATCTAACGGACGAGAAACACCGATTTTTTAAAAAAATGTGATGGCATTTTCGTAAATAAATGAACATCGAAGTGCAAGTAAAATGTATTATAAGTTCAAGTAAAATGTTTTACAAGTGCAAGTAGCAGTTTCTATAGTGCACCTCAGTGCAAGTAAGTGTATTATAAGTGCATGTAAAATGTATTACAGGTGCAAGTAAAATTTACACTGAGCATCAATACTAAGTGAACCTAACGTTATACCTAGGTGCATCTAACGTTATAATTAGTTGCACATAGGTGCACAAATGTTAAAAAGGTAAATTACTTGCACTTGTAAGTGAAAGTAGGTACACTTGTAAGTGATTTTACTTGCACTTTTTACTTGCATAGGTACACCAGCTACTTGCACTTATAGCACATTTACGAAAAGGTTAGCGCGTCATTTTTTTAAAAATTACATTTGATTTGTTGATCTGGACACGTGAACGGCTGTGAGTTGTTTTTATTTCTCTTCTGGGCGGCCGTTCACATTAGAGCGTGTCTATATATATATATATATATATATATATATATATATATATATATATATATATATATATATATATATATATATATATATATATATATATATATATATATATATATATATATATATACATATACATATTCAATGCCGGTTGAGTGGTTTGTACTTATAGCGTGCGTAATATTCAAAATCCACCAGCCATGGAGGTGTGAAGTTTCCAACGGGTCAAGACTGAGAGTCACTAATTTTTTTTCAGATGTTCTTAATTGTCAAATAGTGCATTCATTTATCTTCAAAAGGAAAGACTGACGACCGTTTACTCTTATGATAAAGCAAAACTAATACTATTACATTTTTCACACCAGAAGATCGAAGTTTAGGTGAGTGAGTACAACTGTACGCCATGAGATATATTGCAACTGGCAACTGGGAAGGGCCAATATTGTAGGCCTTAAATGCAAGCTATATATTTTTCGGTTTTGGAGATAACTTATAACCTCTTTTGGACCAATATAATAGATTTGAGTTAATTCCGTATTTAGTCGTAATTTATAGGTGTCAATCCACTTTTAATCATTTTTTCTTCAGAATATTTATCTGTGGTCCTAGTATTATTGTGACGATCATTTTTGGTCCCCCGTCAACAAAATCATTGAAATATCGTTAAATAAAAGATTATTTCGATCATTATTATACAAAGTGGGTTAACCCGCTATATTTTTATTTTTAAATAAAATTCATAATGGAAGACTAAATGTCCTTGTATTTTACAAAATTTAAACGGTTTTGTTTATGGAGGACCAAAAATAGTCATGCCACAATAATATTTAGGATCAACGAATGATGGTTTGAAAAAAAAGGACTAAAAGTGAAATGTTAACTATAAATCTAGAACCAAAAATGAAATTAACTCTAATAGATTTCCTTTTTAACTAGTAGTAAATTAGTGATAGTGTTGATTATTCAGAAATAGTCAATAAATATAAGCCAAATACCCAATGGGATAGTTTACGTGGCAAATGAGCTATATCGGGAAGAATTTCAAGATAACATGGATTCGATTCTCACAAGTGACAATTCCTTCTGAGCCAGCTCCCGAGCCTTTCAGAGCGAGCGGTGATTAGTCGGGTGGACCCGGACTGTTAGACAGATGAGAGTAATTGTTTCATTCAGTTCAGAAGAGATAAGAGTTACATTGCTATAGGAAATAGAAAGCTGAAATAACCCCTATCTAAAAGGGTTACCATAGAAGACTAAACCAAACTAAATACAAATAATAATAAGATAATTAACAATAGTTAAAACATTATTCACACACCCCCTCAAGCACAAGGGTGGTGTGTAGCCACATTGAGCTTGTCACGAAGAGCCACGAACCGGGGTCCTGGAAGTGGTTTGGTGAAGATATCTGCGAGCTGATCCTTTGTAGAGACGAAATTGACAATAAAATCACCTGCTGCAACTTTGTCCCTGACAAAGTGGAAATCAATTTCCACATGCTTGGTCCGTGCATGAAAAACTGGGTTTGCACAAAGATAAGTAGCGCCTAAGTTGTCACACCATAGGGTGGCAGGATCCCAGAGTGCAACCCTAGTTCACGAAGGAGTGACACAATCCACGTGACCTCGGCAGAGATATCGGCTAAGGCTTTATACTCGGCTTCAGTCGAAGAGCGGGCCACAGTGCGCTGTTTCTTGGAGAGCCACGAAATGAGATTAGAGCCCAAGAATACGGCATACCCACTAGTACTCTTCCTGTCCATGGGGCATCCAGCCCAATCAGAGTCTGAAAAAGCATGAATTGCCGAGGAAGCGGACGCAGACAAGCGTAACCCACAATCCAAGGTGCCCTTGACATAGCGTAGAACCCGCTTCAATAGTCCCCAATGATCTGTAGTAGGTGCGTGCATGAACTGACAAAGGTGGTTTACGGCATAGGAGAGATCTGGACGCGTGATCGGGAGGTATTGCAGAGCCCGAACTAAACGCCTGTACTGCGTGGGGTTCTCGTACGGTTGATCTGAGGGTGAAACAGCCTGTGTGACAGCCGTTGTAGTCGTCAGAGGTTTGCAATCTGTCATACCAGCCCAGTTTAGAAGATCATTCATATAGTGGCGTTGTGATAGTACGAGACCATCCTCCTATTTCAATGTTTCAATGCCAAGAAAGAATCCTGGAGTGCCAAGATCCCGAATCTTGAAAGTAGTAGATAGACCCTGTAGTAAAGCATCTATTAACGGAGCATCATCACCCATCATGATGATGTCATCCACATAGACTAAGAGAAACACCCGGGATGACCCAGACTTGTAGTGAAACAGTGAGACATCAGTCTTGGAGGGAGAGAAACCAGCTGAAACCAAGTAGTCATGTAGCCTCTTGAACCAAGCTCGAGGTGCCTGCTTGAGGCCATACAGAGAGCGCTGCAAGTGACAAACATAGTTAGGGTGGGTCGGGTCTTCATACTCGGGAGGCTGCTTCATGTAAACAGTTTCCTCCAAGTGCCCGTTGAGGAAGGCATTGTGAATGTCCAACTGACATAGAGTCCACCCCCTTGACACGGCTATAGAAAATAACAAGCGAACCGTTGTCGGTTTGACCACGGGACTGAAAGTATCAAAGAAATCTTCCCCAGCCACTTGATTGAACCCTTTGGCTACGAGCCGAGCTTTGTAACGCTCGACTGATCCGTCAGCGGTGCGTTTGGTACGAAAAACCCATTTGTACCTAATGCCGTTCATATCCGGTGTAGCCGGGATAAGTTTCCAAGTGCTATTATGGAGCAAGGCATTGAATTCCTAGTCCATGGTATCTCGCCACTGTGAATGACCAACCGCCTGTGAATAACACGTCGGATCTGTAGTGACATTTAAAGCATGAAAAGGCTCGTCAGTACCACGAGTCATGTGGCGAAGACGCATGACATGACCCTGTCAAGTGTCGATTGCGCACGGGTGCGCTTCCGTCTAGCCGGGACCGTAGCAGGTGCTTCAAGCGCCAAAGGCGGTGGGTCCTGTGCCAAAGGAGTGGGGTTTGATGATGATGGTGTAACACTTGGCAGCGGGTTTGTTACCAAACCATGTGGTACAATCGGTCCTGCGACCCATGGTGCCTGAGTAGGAACCGCTTGTGCCTGGCCCTGTGTTTCTGAAAAGGGAAAACAAGATTCGTCAAATCGGACATGACGACAGATATAGACTTTCCTCATTGTGAGATCCATGCACCTATATCCCCTAAAGGATGGAGGATATCCTAGGAAGACACAGGGTGCGGAGCGGTACTCTATCTTGTGCCGATTGTAAGGCCTGAGATAGGGGTAACACCAGCACCCGAAGACTCTTAGAAACGTGTATGGAGGAGACACTTTGTGTAACCGACCGTAGGGAGTTTCGAAGTTTATGGCTGAAGAGGGTAGATAGTTGATGAGACACACAGCCGTTTCAAAGGCATAGTCCCAGTATTGTAAGGGGACAGAGGCTTCGGCAAGGAGTGCTAACCGGGTCTCAATAATATGTCGATTGCGGCGTTCCACCTTGCCATTTTGCTCATGTGTGTATGCACACGATTGCCTATGTATTATGCCAAGAGAGTGGAAAGTTTTATGTAACTTTTGGTACTCACCCCCTAAGTATGATTCAATAGCTTTGATAGAACGCGAAAACTGGCGTTCTACCATAACACGGAAGGACTCGAAAATTTTTTAAATATCCGATTTTTGCTTTAAAGGATAAAACCAGCAAAATCGGGAATGGTCATCTACAAACAATAGAAATAACGGGAGCGGGGCCCCAAATGTCAGTGTACAGCAAATCTAACACATTTTGACTAGATAATGCTACCCTATCTAATGGAAAATGCGACGATTTCCCAAGATGGCAAGCTGCACACGACCCCGACGCCTCAGATTTATTTTTGGTAACCAGACAATTTTGAAGGACACGATTCTGGACTTGATTATGTGGATGACCCAAGCTGCGATGCCAAACCCCGGGAGTGACCCGGGAGCTTATGAACGCAAAATGTGACTGTGACACCGAAAGCTTGTACAATCCGCCCGTGACGGGACCCCTAAGTAGTGTCGCCTTGGTGACGGAATCCTTCACAAAAAAACAATTTTTGTGAAATTCAAAGTAAACGTTATTTTCGTTTGCAAACCGGTGTACAGATAATAGGGGAACTGACAGTTTGGGTACAAGTAAAATATTAGACATAGACAGAGATTTAAACTAAGTGGGAATAGATGCATGGCCCACTCGTGAGATAGTCAAACTTGCACCGTTCCCAACTCGTAAAACATCGCTGCCTGTGTATTTTTCAGATTGCGACATCATCGCTGAATCCGGTGTAGCGTGGGCTGTGGCCCCGTTGTCCGGGAACCAGGATCCGGCTGCCGTTGTGGAGCTGTCATCGCCTGCTACGACGAGATTGGCATGTGGCGTCGGCGGCTGAGTTGTGTATCGCTTAAAGCAATACACCGCAGTATGCCCGTGTGAGCGGCATATTTGGCACCGGGGAGCACCACCTCGGCCACAACCTGCACCGCCACGCCCATGCCCCTGTCTACCGCGGTTCTGCCCGCCGCGGCTGTGACCTCCGGCATGATATGCTCTAGATTGGTGGCGTCCTCGGCCAGCAAAGAAGGCCGCCGGTGAACCTGCAGCGCCTCCTTCACTGTTGGTGGCCGAGTAATCGTCGGAGTAGATAAACTCTTGCGCTTGGAGGTAATCCGAAAGCTGAGAGATGGAGACCGGTGTTCCGGTGACTGTGAGAAAAAACGCCATCACCCGAAATTCTGGCCGCAACCCCCTGAAGACATACATATGTTGGTCTAAAGTGAGAGGGCGGCCGGCCAACGCGAGTGCCTCCACGTTCAGCTGTGTTTTGCCGAGGTACTCTGCCGGAGAGCTATTACCTTGGCGCAGGGATTGAAACTGACCTAACAGGTTGAGGCATCTCGCCCGGGAAGACAACCCCAACGTCGCTGTGACCGACTCCCACACCTCCCGGGAAGTGCTCCGACCAACTGCTAGGTACATGACTTCATCTGACAGTGAGGAGATGAGGAGCGACATGATGGATTGGTCTTGCTGTACCCACGCTTGGAACGCAGGGTTGGGACCGGTGAGGGCAGCAGTGGGCGTCGTCGCGGTGCCGGAGTCGCCGGAAGATGGAGGAATGGCGATCGTGGGCGGTGGACACGGGGTTTCACCATCCACAAACCCGAGCAATCCTTGTCCTCTGAGAAAGGGAACGAGCTGCGTTCTCCAGAACAAGAAATTGCGAGTGTTGAGCTTGATGGATACAAAATGATGGGCTGAAGAGAGAGTGTTTGGGGTGGTGGCCGGAGTAGAAACGGTGGCGGCAGTCACCGTTCTCTCGGAAGAATTAGTCGATATAGTCGATCGGGGAAGGAGAGTAAAGATAGGAAAAGGACCGTTGGCTTACTGATACCAGATGAAAGTAATTGTTTCATTCAGTTCAGAAGAGATAAGAGTTACAATGCTATAGGAAATAGAAAGCTGAAATAACTCCTATCTAAAAGGGTTACCATAGAAGACTAAACCAAACTAAATACAAATAATAATAAGATAAATAACAATAGTAACAACATTATTCACAAGACAGGCGGAGAAAGACCCGGAATGCATCGTAGTTTAAAAAAAATAAAAATTAAATTAAATAGTCAATAAATATAAAAATGGTTTCTCTTTTACTGTCATGTTAAAATATGAATACTAATATTGATTAATTGAAAATGGCTATAAAAACAATATAGGGTGTGTTTGGTTGATGGGTTTTGCCCATAGGAATGGGTATGAAAGTCATTGTTATTGTTTGGTTGATAGGTTTTTAGAACACTACTATGGGTTTCGAATACCCCATGAATTGAAAAATCCATACCCAAATAAAATAAGGGTTTCAATCCCTTATTCATTCTCAAACACTAGTACAGTACTATTAGTAACCATTCCCATTCCATCCTACTACCAAACATGTTAAATACTTTCACCAAAATCCATTACCATTACCAAGTATTTGATATCCATTCCGATTCTGATTTCCATGTGCGAACCAAACACACCTGTAAGTGGATGTTTGATCTAGTTTATAAGAGATTATCAAGGTAATGTTGTACTGAAATGTCATATAACACGTGTTTGATTCATGTTATATGAGATTTCAAGAGAAATGAATGTCATATGCTTATTTCATTAGCTTTTCCCCTTGTCCTGATGGAATGTAATTTTCTGAACTTTTTTTGATTATTTAAAACACCCTTATAATGTAAGCTAATTTTATCATTTTTTGCTATCCTTTCCCCCCCTCTCTGTATAAAGTCATGGATCTCTATCTGTGTATATCCTATGTTGCACACTACACATACTTAATATGCACATGCGAATATTGAATCTTTGAGTTGCACAGCACATGCTCCATATTTGCCAATTTTGGACCCCAATTGATATCATTCATGAATATGTTTTTTTTAATACACTATATTGGTTCTCATGTACTTATGGCAGGGTGGTTCTATAGGAACATCATATATATATGGTTATTGATATTAAAATCTAATTATAATAGATAAAATTATTAAAAAAAAATATTTGCATGTGCTAAAAGCTAAATCTAACCCTTTCAATACCTACAAGTTTAATGCATTTCTTTAAAAAAAAAAAAAAAATTATGCTAGATAATAATATTTCTAATAGTCAATACCAAAAATGAACAGTGGCACTGCCAGTAAGAATATTTCCTTGTCACCCTTTTTCAAGAATCACTTACAAACGTTTCTCAATTTGTATAGTACTAAAAAAGATTCAAGATAGCAACAGCAATATAGTTTCCTCCTAAAAATTTGCAACTCTCCCTCTCTTTTCTTGGGGAAAACAGAATGGTATGTAACACACAGATCAATCCACGAGTATAAAGTTTTGTCTTTAAACAGATTCTAATTCTAATTGGTATCATCATCAGTGCCCCAAGCATCATCCTTCTTGTTTTGCCTTGAAAGTATTCGGTTCTTCCTCGCTTCTTCCTGTCTCCTCAATTCCCTCGACCCAAAATCCGAAGGTAGCTTTATACCTATACTTTGAGCAATCATTCTCTGAGCAGCTCGAGCTGATGTCCGAGGCCTTTGACGAGGTGGCTCCAGATCTGCACATTCAAACATAACTCTACTTAGCGCCAAAAACAAAGATTCTACTTAAGTAATGTTCAGTCGGTGTAATACAACCAATGAGAGAGAGAATACCGAATGTTACCTCTAGGTGGAATTGACTTCAAAAGTTCATCATCCTCGTTAAGAATATGCATCGAAAATGGCCACTGAATAGAGCTACTTGCTTCAAGAGCTGCATCACAACATAAATAAAACAGATGAAAATCATCATTCAATTGTTAATAAATAAAACAGATGAAAAAGCAGTCATTAAATGTCTTTAACCTTGATATAGAACAACAATGGTGGAAACTCTAACTTGAGTTTAACAAGGTTTGAAGATATGATAATGAACAAAATTACCTTCTGATGGAGTTCTGAAGACTGCAAGTGCAACCTTATCATTGACCCAACGGATTACAACCTGATCTTTATGCTTCTCCAGTAATTTCTCCAAGTCAGTTGTCCTAGTACTTGTCGGAAAGTCAGCCAGAACAAGGACATGGCTGGTGCCATATTTTACTGTATATATAAGTAAAATCAGTAAACAAAAGGAACACTCTTAGTAAACAGAGACACATTCTAGTACCAGACTGAAAAGGTCAACTTTGAGTAATGGTAATGGCATAAACTTACAATTCAATGAATGCGAGCTCCCTTCTGTACTATGAGAAACATCATCATCCGAGTAGTCATATTTACTCCCTTCAGACGGTTCATCACTATACAATTCATCTTTTTGATATAAGAAAGTACCTCTCCCACGTCTTTTGGGTGCTTGAACTTTTGAATCCTGCAACGAAAGACTGGACACTTCTGGCAAGCCTGATGGTGAAAGCAATTCATTTGGATCACGGTCAGCTATAGCTTCCCAATCTGTATGTTCCATAACTAGTCAGTTGAATAATCGAATAAAGATTTCGAAATATATATAAAATTTTTGGGCTCCAAATAAACATTAGAGGAAAAAGAACTAAAAAACCATACTATGATATACTATTATGACTAAATGTCCACAAAATTCTGAGTCACAAACAGCTCGACTATCATGTTCAGTAATCATGTCCATCGAAGTTTCAAACATTGGAGTAAAAGACATCACATTAGGGATATGCAACAAGGACAGAAAAAATATACGCACCATCAACTGGAGAACCACGTTGCTTTGAGCCATCATCTTGCAAGTTGGAAGAGATCTCAAGATTACCTTCGCAACATAAACCGCAAATTTTCAGAATACAAAGAGAAAAATAAGCGCAACAACCAGATGCTCGAAGAAGAATAGGTGAATAAGTGACAAACCAAAGAACCTGAAAAGTAAAGATATGATTGAGTTGCAAAAGAGACACACAGGAAGTTAAGTAATACAGAGTATACAGAGTAATATTCCAACAAAAGAAGGGAAATGAGACATACTATATTCTGAAATTCCCTTGCCTCTCGATTCCTTAGAAGACTTATTTGCATCCTCAGCATCCCTGAAACACATCCACAAAACAAAGCCTGAAAATGGACACTCTTATACAGTAAATTCTCATCAATTTGAAGAGCCATTGCCCATTGAATCAACTAGAAACTTCAAGAAAATACAAAAACAGAAGAAAAGAAAAAGTCCTTTTCATATCCTGGTTTTAAAATAGTAGTTTTCCCACATTTTTTTTTCTTGTGTGTCATCATAGCAGCATTTTCATGATAACCTAATTGATGAAAACTAAAATTTTCTTGAAATTCAAGAGCAACGGAATCAAGAACAACAACAAGAATTTTCATTATTCTCCATGTTTCTAATATTTAAATGTTGTAAAAAGAAAATAAGAATTTACTCTTTCCAGATTTCTTGGTAACCTAATAGAATAGAATGACTTAAAAGTAAAATAAATAGAAACCGTTTCTTGAGTTTCTTACTTCACTTGAAGGGAAAAGGGCAGAGAGAGTTGTTTGAGGAGGAAAGCGCGAGAGCGAGCCTCATTGGCCTTGATAGAGAAACCTTGAGTCGCGTAGAGCTTCGACAAGTCCAGAAGTGCAGCTGACAATTGCCCCAATTTGGAATCCGTTTCGAGCTTCGACACCACGGATTCCAGTAAAGAAATGGCCTCCTCGACTTGGCCGCCGTGTACGAGGTCCTCCACCTCCTCCGTCCAGTTGGCGATATCGGCGGCGGCGGAAGAGCTGGTGTTCTCCATGTCAGATGCTTCTCTCGAATTATTCAATCGTCCTGGAATTTAGAAATGGTGTATTTCGCACTCATATACACATTGACCCGCAACTCCCAAGGGTAAAACGGTAAAAACTGCCACATGAAATATTTCCCTCTTTTTTTTTTTTTTTTTGATAACTGCCTCTTTCTTTTAAACTTTACTAAAATACCATATACCACATTTACTTGTAGGAACACATTAAATAATTTTTTTTTTTAAATAAAATTTTTTATACAAGTTACTATATGCTAATAATTTAATTTTAAATGGTGTAATTTTATTCGATTTTATCTAGTGATGCCAAGTTGATCATGTGGTATCCATTCGATTTAATTAAGCCTAGCCTACCTGAATCGGATACAATAGTTATGCTGTGCAACCGTGTGCACCATGCATGGTGCACACGGTTGCAAAACGACGTCGTTTTAATTAAAAACGCGCGTCCCATTTGTTTTTTAAATCAGTTTCGATTCCCCTCAACAGCATTATTGTGGATATATAGTTATGAATTTATGGATATTTAGTTCATTCATTGTTGATATTTAGTTCATTCATTCTGGATTTTGTGTTATTCATTCACTGTGGATATATAGTTATGAATTTGTAGATATATAATTATGAATTTGTAGATATATATTCAAATTATGCACAAAAAATGCTATTGTCAGGAATCGAACCTGAATTTTTTTTTTTAAGTGGGACGCGCGTTTTTAGTCAAAACGACGTCGTTTTTGCAACAGTGTGCACCATGCACAGCATAATTTGCGTATCGGATATTAATGTGGGTCATGTTAGTACAATCTATATTTTGAAATGATCAGTCCAATACAATCCAAGTATTTAATTTATTTATTGTTTTAATAATCAAGTGGATTAATTTCATAATAAATTTTAAATATAATTATTAAGCAACATGACCCCAATTAAGCATACAAATCATTTATCCTTCAAACACTTCAGTAGAAGTGTGCATCTGGTGACATACAGCAGTAAGTATGGCTTAAGACTTTTATCCTTCATTTAATTTGTAATTAAAAGTCTTATATTACTTGTAATTTATGGTTGTTTATGCCCTCCTTGTGCAATGAGTTGTTAATAAAACAAGGTTATGATGGTGTGTGAGAGTAAGTTCCTTACATTTCTTGTCAATAATTTTGCATTGTAAATGTTTTGACATCATAAAAAGGGAGAAATTGTTAGGAATAAGTGTTGTATAGATTTTGATGATATTAGTTACTATAATTTAGGAATTTAGACTCCTTATTTCTTATATTTGTAACAGCGAATACAAAATTTTACTTTAAGCCCTCCATTAGATCCTAGTAATAGGTCGGTGCACCGGCAGATGCTTGTAAAAGTAGCCAATGGATAATAGACTGTGTTCACTATAGAGATACCTTATTCGACATGCCCTTCATTTATTTAGTTAGGTCAAACGACATACAATAGATTATTATGTAAAGGTCTCCTAGTAGATCAGATGTCATATCATCTGACATTAATGAAGTTATTTGCCAAGTGTTATTTGCTAAAGTGTATTTTATGTTGAAAAATTAAATCCTCAAAATTTCATTGTAAAAAAAATATTCAAAATAGTCTAAGCGTCTGGGAAGAATTCATGAAGAAGTTACAACTTAAGTTTATTTTGGAAAGAAATTAAGATGTAACATAAAAAGGAGAAGAGTTTTTATTTGAGAAGAAATTGGAGAAGAGTTTATTTGAGCAAAGGAAGGAGAAAAGGTTTTATTTGAGAAAAAAGAGAAGAGTTCATTTGAGCATAAGAAATTATAGAATAATTATTTTTTTTCGGAGAGTAAATTAGAGCACAAGTTAATTTAATTAAGGAAAGAAGGTCGAGCGCCAGATTCACAAATATCCATTTATTAGAAATCAATTTTGAGTACAAATAGAAGCACTAATTTCGAATTTGAGCATAAGTTGGAGAAAGATAAAGTTAAAGCATAAGTTAGAGAAGAGATAAAAAGCACAAGTTGGAGAAGAGATAAAGTAAGAGCACAAGTTGGAGTAGAAGTTTGAGGATAATATGCAGTAGTGCCAATTTCTAAATTGAGAACAATTTGGAGCATAAGTTTCAATGAGCACAAATTTGGAGCATAAGTTTCAATGAGAACATTTTGGAGCACAATTGCAATGAGCATAAGTTGGAGCATAACTTATAAGAAGCAAGGATTAGAACACATATTGAAGAATGAAAATTGCAAAAGAGTTTACTACAAAAGTTATTACATGCCATAAATTCTAGTGCATTCGAATTCAAATTTATCCAGGAATGATACATGCCAATCAAGGAAAGATTTTAAATTTTAATAAAGCCTAATTCCTAGACCAAGTAGTAAAGATACAATTTTCAATACTGCATCCAATCAAGCTGTTATAACGGCCAAAATTGCAGATCAAAATTTCAACACATCAAATAAAATACAAACGGTCAAGATTGAAGATCACTATTTGTTATTTTCAACGGACAAATTTTTTGTTCATTTATAAAAAGAATATGAAGACTTGAAGACATTTAAAAAAAAAAAAAAAAAAAAAAAAAAAAAAAAAAAAAAGCTTAAATATACACGAGAGAGTACTTAACTTCCATAATCTATTACCATCCAACCGGGACTAACACTTGGATACTATAAATATGGGGTCCTATTCCTCACCAAAACATCATCATCTTATCAATGAGCATTTGACTTCCTTGATCCATTGCCTTCTTTCCTTTTGAAGAAACTTGCCTAATTTGTGTAGAAGTTGTAATAATCCATATTAAACTATATAAGCTTGGATTCGATGCCCGATTTTAATATTATATTCATTAGGACTGAAACAACACATGAGCCTAACGTTTTATTTATGTAATTTTGATATTAGTTACCTAAATACCCCGGTTACCCAGTTTAGAGGGGTCTAATCCAATACAATAATCAAATTCTAATTACAACAACTAAATCTCCTAAGAATCTAAATAATGGAGACTAACAACTTAAATAATATTCTTTGAGACTTCTATTGACATTTTGGGTCAAGAACATATATTTATCTTTTCGTTAGTGTTAATGTACGTGGATTTTCTCTCGATGGCTTTCTTCCAATACTCGATCAGTATTGTGTTTCATGGATTATTAGAGGAGAACATCACAAGTTTTTTAGTAAAGGAACTTAGCTAAATGAAGTTGAAGTTTAAGGTTTTAAAACTTGACCGTTTGGTTCAAATAATTTGAAATTACACCAATAATGTGAAAAAGACTATGTGGGATTGGTAAATGACGGTTAGCTATAGTTGTTAACTGATTGAGTTAGTGAATTTGACTGGTTAATAGCATTGGTGATTGTAAAAAAGTGTTTGGTAAATTAGTTGTTAGCTGTTAGCCGATTACATACAAAATGACTTTCTCAAAAAGCTTATCGAAAAATCCACTTTGAGCAACTTTTTGAATTTTAACATTTTGAAGTAATAAGTTGTCACAAAAAGCTAATTAATCAAACACTCATATTGATTGTTTAACCAAGTCAAACAACTAATATGGTCAAATAAGTCAAAATTAACTGATATGCTAATTATTTTACAAGACAAAACCATGCATTATCTTAGCTTGTTTTGTTCACATTATATTAATGAGGTAGAATTAAGGTATGAGTTTTAAGTATTTTATGATTACTTTTCAATATTTTATATTTGTCCTCAAAATTAAAGAAATAAACATTACAAAGTAGTGGTTGCAAGTCATAACATGTGGATTCTATGGAAATGTCAATTCACTGTATTGTCAATATGAAAATATTTATTGCTTTGTCCATATGTTTTTTAATATTTTATTTTTAAAGGCTAGTATTAATATTTAGAATTAATCTTTCACAAAATACGCAATATTACATTCCTATCCTAGCTATATTTTAACCAAATACATAAGATAATTATATTATTTAGGTAATTTTACATGGCTACACACATTTTAACAAACCTTTAAAGCCTCAAAAGTCTTGCCAAAAAATATTTTTAATATACAGTACATTGATTCATACAATGAAAATTTTGTCAAATAATTTTCAAACTTATGTTGGTAAGTACATCAAAAACTTAGTTTTAAGAGTCCATGAATTCTCTAATCAACTTACTAATACATCAAAAGTTTATCAGAAATATTTTATAAGTTTGTCAAACATTTCAACTCGATCACCATAACATTAGTGTTAGGCGAAGACCAGTGAAGGGCCAAGTCTAGCACCAGGTTCTAGAGAGATTGTTGAATGATCTGAGGACTAAAGGGCTAAGCCCAACACACTCCTTCTCGAAAATGTGGCGATTATAAAAAAATAAAGTTACGCATTCGCTACTAGCTAGTTATAGCTTTTGACGTAGTGGTAAGCGCTTGATCCTAACAAGTGGTATCAGAGTCAGCTCACGGATTCTTCGCGTATTTTATTATATTATATTATTTTTTGATGTATTGACACATCAAAATTTATTTTTCCTATGACATTTTCGACCCAGCTCTTGGCACAGGTCAAAAAATGTTCAAATGTTGTTGATATGTTATAAATATGTTGAAAATTTGATATGGGTCATGATATGTTTGAAAAGATATCTTGAAAACGTCTTTATGGTATGATATATAAAGTCTAAGTTCAATGAATTATTATAAATGACCTAATTACTTGTAATTTATCAAAAAAAGTATATTCATGTCATCTTGCATTATAAAACAAAATGTGCATAAACATTGCAACGTGAGTGATGAGTTGTGACTGTACTATACCAATTAAACTCAATATCACATCGTTTTAAATTATGGGTCAGCATGCTTTACAACGTTGTGATGACCTACGACGTAGTCTCTCTCACACCCAAGCATATATTATGTACGTATAAAGACCGTTTTTAAGGTTGTGGGTTAGTTGGGGAAATATTCAATCCATAAGTTTTCTTGCATGTAAGAATGTAGAGTCATAGACCGAAATGTAAATATTTTTGCATGCATGGATTAATATATGACTATGTTTTGCAACTTTTGAGCTCATAATTATAGCTGGTAGTGAAAGCAGTAATATAACATTATTTCTTTATACCTGCATAGTAGTTAGCTCCTCTCAGTCAATGCCCAACAATAATCATCGATCACCTCCTATCATCACTTACCAGTTTCAATTGTCCAACATCAAATTTTGATGACAGGAAGCTAGATTTGACCCTTTAAGCTAACACCCAACAATCACCTTCTATATATCACCACTGCTGGAAATTATGAAATTTCTGACCACCTGTCGGAAATAGCAGCAAAGGTTTTTTCGGATACCAAAAGTAGTCGGAACAATGCTAGCTTTCGACTTGATTTAAGATCACTTTTAGGTGGTCGGAAATTCCATAATTTCCAGCAGTGCACCAACCGGCTTCAATTGTTCATCCAACGTCAAATTTTGATGACCGGAAGTTAGATTTGGCCTTGTAAGGAAACGCCCAACACACGTTTATGTTTGGTAACTAATCTAACTAAAATGGTTAGCTATATATGCATGTAAACTGATACACATGGACATTGTATATGTATGATAATTGCATTAAGATGAATGCATAATAAATTTACAGCATACAAAGTTTTCATTAATTCATTGATAAATGTTTGCATAAAGATATATTATAGTTGATGAACCGTAAATAATACCCACCCAATATATATTTACTTACGTAGTATATAGTTGTATGTTCCACTGAAAAGTGTAACCTATATATACCAATCATCGTACTTAAACCTATCTTACACTAACCATAATAAAATCATCTGATCTCCTCTCTTTTTTCCTGCAGGTTAGGCACTAAAAGGAGGAGCTATATATATGTGTGTATATATAGGTACAAGATTATGGAAGATGTTCGTAATAATTAATGAAAATTATATACTACTTTTTCTGTCCATTTCTTTGATTGATTCCATGCACCACTTGATATTAAATTACCTGCAAATTAAAGCCCTTTTCACGCTACAAAATCTGGTAAGAGTTGAGCTGCAAAGCGCTTGCCATTCTGGAAATCTATGGTTTCATAGCCGCCATTGATGTTTGAGTGGGAAGAAGGTTGAGGATTGTTGTCTATTCCCATCCTGCCCATCTCAAGTCTCCGCCCCAACTCCATGTCTTGGTGGGTAGAAAGGTAATTTTGTTGGCTACCGGAGACGGCTAGGTTTTCAGACGGCGGGAGGCCGAGGGTGAGGGAGACGCCGTTTCCGTGATGAAACCCGGCGGTTAGATTTTCCGGGTTGAACCTTCCGAAGTCTCCGATGGTGAATCCGCCGAATCCGCCGGTGTTTGCGGCGGCCATTAGGTCAGGGAAGTTTTCGGCGGCGGCGGCCGGTGTTCTGTCGGCGGTGAACTTGTGGTGGTTGTACCCTTTGTTGGCCTCGCCGGCGGCGGACTTCATGTCCATGTCCACCGAGAGAATACTGCTGGGGGAGCTTTGGATGTTGTCGTTCCTCGGTTTCTTCCCGTTCCTCTCGCCGGCGTTTTCCATGTTTAGCGTGTTGATGAAGGAGAAAGCGCCGCCGCCGCCGCCTTGAGGCTGAAGAGATGAAACTCCGGTGGGAGATGCAGTCATAATGGAAGTGGAAATTTCAGTAGGAGAAGCATTGTTATTATTATTATTATCTTGAATATTGCTCGTCTTTTCTTGCTTTTCAGTAGAATTATTGGAGCCAATCTCCTTATTAGCTTCATTTCTCTTTCCTGCTGCGGCGGCGTTTTCGCCGGAGCCGCCGTACTGTTCTTGGCCTTTCATTTCTTCCGTGTACATCTCCTCCACCATTGGCTTCCACAGTCGAACTCGAGCATTGATGAACCAGTTCGACACCTACATACGTTAATTTAACCACCACTTCACTTTCATGCAATCCATGCATTTTCCATCATAATTCAACTAGATATATATACATATATATACCAGTATATATGCAACTACAAATTAAATTAAATTAAAGTTAATATTCAAGAACCTGGCTTCTGGTAAGCCCTGTTTGCTTAGCAAGCATGATTTTGTCTGAATCCTTCGGGTACCTGCAAGTGAATGAAAGGACAACTCCCATCTTTCAGGATGATTCAATCATAATTCAATATGTTACGTGTGCCCTCTTATAACTAAAAAGGCCTTGTAACCTTACACTACTGGAAATTATGGAATTTCCGACCACCTGAAAGTGATCTTAAATCAAGATGATACCAAAAAGTGGTCGGAAATAGCAACAAAAGTTTTTCCGGATACCAAAAGTGGTCGGAAGAAGGCTTTTGACTTGATTTAAGATCACTTTTAGGTGGTTGGAAATTTCATAATTTCCAGTAATGTTATATGGCAAAGATTAAGGTTTCCCATAGCTAACCGACTCAAACAGAAGGTCAGTTAGCTATTTTTGGGAGTCAAACTTGCATGAAAAACGAATTAACAAATTTTATAGTTACTTTATACACGGCTAGAAATTATGAAATTTCCGACCACCTGAAAGTAATCTTAAATAAGTCGAAAGCAAAAAGTGGTTGGAAATAGCAACAAAGGTTTTTCCGGATACCAAAAGTGGTCGGAACAAAACTTTCGACTTGATTTAAGATCACTTTCAGGTGGTCAAAAATTGCATAATTTTCAGCAGTGATAGATGATTCAATCATTATTCAATATGTTATATGTGCATCTTATAAGTAAAAAGTTTTGTTTTTAATAGTAAAAAGAGAAAGGACAGTTACTACTCAAAGGTATGCACGAGGTAAATTTAGCTTTGTAACCCTATTTGGCAAAGGTTTAAGTTTTCCATAGCTAAGTAACTCAAACAGAAGGTCAGATCAGTAGGCTATTCTTGGGAGTCAAACTTGCATGAAACATGAATGAACAAATTTTATAGTTAACTTTATAGATGATTCAATCATAATTCAATATGTTATGCATGCCCTCTTACAAGTAAAAAGATTTTTTTTTTTTTTTGAATAACAAAGGCCAGGTAAACAGACAGTCACTACCCGAGAGTGTATATTGATTGGGTAAACCCAATCTTGTAATCTTAGCGGGCAAAAGATTACAAGAAAGTCAACCAACTCAGGTCACACATAGCTGATCAGATCAAACCAAGAAGGCAAGAAAGACGACTGTAGGTTACTCCAGTTAGAAGTCGAATTTGAAACACCAATGAAAAAAGCTTTATAGTTAACTTACGGGTGAAGAAAGTGTTCGAAAAGCCAAGCACGGAGGACGGAGACAGCTCTCTCCGGGAGGCCTCTCTGGGGCCTCCAAGCATTGGGCTGCATCATCCCAAGGTGCTGGAGGGCACGTTGCTGAGGAAGATGATGATCAATGAACTTTAACCTCGAACCTCGCACCCCTTCTTCCTCACCTAAACTCTTGCTCGTCGCCTTTATCTGGGAAGCAATGGCCACTTTCAGGCACCGGAATTGCTTAGAAATGGTGTTGAGAGCCAGGTGAGTGTACGATCTCGCCGACCCAACTCCGGCCGCCTGCTCAAACGACGCCACGATCACCTGCATTTGGTGATGGTATTGCCGGTACCTCTGCTCCACCTTTAAAAAAAGACCCCAAAAATTAATGGATTAGTTTAACTGTCAGTCATACTTTAATCAAATTAAGTAATGATGGACTTTGTGAAAGTTAATAATAAAAGGAGGAAGAAGATAAAAAGAAGAACACATGTACCCATTGTCGTTGCTTCTTTATCTTAACATTTGTCGGACCCGCACAAAAAAAAACTTATGGCCACACGTTTTCAGTTTGCATATCAATCACACAACATTATTATGATTGGTGTGTTGGTTGGAACTATTGAGCTCCAACTCATTCTACTAAATATTATGTATATGTTGCCATATCTACTTTCATTAATTCAAATTCATATACACATATAGTTTGTTAAAGAACTTGTGGTCTAATTGCATGAAGTAGATTTAGGAGGTCATGTATTTGAGCCTCGATTTTGACTCTTTGTACTTCAGTATAGATACTTGTATTTGAGCCCCGATTTTAACTCTTTGTACTTCAGTAGATTGAGAAAGTAGCTATGAACAGATACTTGTATTGACTCTTTGTGTTTCAGTATGTTGAGAAAATGGTATTGAAAACTGATATATACATATAGTTGATTTTTTTGAAGTATAAAAGAAAATTAATCTCGAGATATATAAATCAATAGTACGTTTTAACCTAACACTAGAATCGGAGAAAATTACCAAAAAAAAAAGTGAAAAAAGGGTAAGAATTAGTTTGGAAAGTGGTAAAATTTAAAAATTTAAGGTAATAAAAATATGATAAGAGATTAAAATATGAGAATTGAATTGATTGAGTACCTCATCCACCATGCTAAGAAGCTTGGCCTTTTTCATCTGAAGGTCTTGTCTTTGAGCGGTGGTTAACTCAGCCGCCGCCGTCTTCTGAGCGCTGCTTTCGCCACCGCTGGTGGGGGGATCGCCGCCGCAGCCGCCGAAAGGGGGCATTGATTCTTTCTTCATTTTCGCCTTTTCTTTATTGGCCGCCTCCTCGGCGGCGTCTAACTTGAGGCTCTTCTCCACGTTCACAACTTCATCGAGAAGCTCCTGGGCCGCCTTTAGGTACTTGGAGCCCGTAATGAAGCCGGAGATTCCGTGGGTGATCGACGACGACGACGCGCCGGAGTTGTCGTGGGCGGCGCCGGGCCGCGCGGATAAAAGCCCGACCGGAGATTCCATGGGGAGAGACCTGAAAGGGTGCTGCTGGGGAGATAAGCTCAAGGACAGCCCCTGTTGAGCTGTCGGTGACACCACCACCGACCTATGGAACCCCAGCTGGGACGCAAAGTCGGTGGTTCCGCCGCCGCCGGAGACCACCGCAGAGGGTATTTGCTGACCGCCGCTTCCACTCCCGGCTTGCTCCAAACCCGCCCACAAACTCCGGGCCGGGTCATGAAGCTGCGCCGATCCAAGAGCCGACGCCGGGAGAGGCACGCCGACAAAGTGCTGGGATTGAGGAAGCCGCGCGTGAGGCATACCCCCCGCATGAAGCGCGTTTCCGGAGTTCAAGAACATCGCCTGCTGTGATTGCGGCAGTGCAGTGTCAGAGAACCCAATATAGTTAGGGTTCATCAGATAAAGCGTCTGCAAACCATCACCTTGGACTTCCGAGCTTCCTTGATAGTACATAGCCATAAATTTTCTTCTTTTTTCTTTAAAATTCCCTTTTTTTTTTTTTTTTCTAAAAGAACCGTTTAAGTGTTTAAGCCATCAACATAATGGAGTTGCTTCAATTCCTTCTGGTGCTGACAAAACCTGAAAGAAAGTAAGAGAAAAGATAGGAAACATGTTTGGAACAGAAATCATGAGATCATAGAACTGAATCCCATGATATAAATATTGAAGAAGTTGGGTTAGTTAGGTAATTAATAATCAAGAAAAAGTTGAATTATATGCTACCCAGAAGCAAGCTTATATGAGAGTTGGAATATATATAAAGAAAGAGAGCGATATATATGGGTATAAATATACATATATATAATTCTCTTACAGTGACATGAAAAAGCCATTAAAATCAAAGATCATCCATCCACCAGACGACAGAGTACAGGGATGTATGAAAAGAAAAAAGAAAAGCAAAAATATATAATGAAATCAAGAAAAGGAGAGAGAAAGGTAGAGAGAGAGAGAGAGAGAGGAGTGTTGCAGTAGAGAGACAAGTTGTGTACCGTGAAGGTAGGAATGGATAAAATAAGAGGCTCACATGTCTGGTCTATGCAATTAACTGTCGATGGATATATATCTTGGGAGGGGTAGGGGTAGGGGTAGCTCAGAGGGGTGAGGAGTTGCTTAATTGGCCTCTTGTCAGGCTGGGTTTCTGCAGCTCTCCAACAGAAAGGGGATATATATGAATAAAAGAGATGTGGGGTATAATATTATATTATTATATTATATTATATATTTCACTCATCACACAACAAAAGAGTAGAGAGTGAAAGAGGGAAAGCCCATCTAGCTTTATATATTTATTCATTCTCAACCTTTTTCTTTCTTTTATTTGCTCATTCATTTTTTTGTTGGGGGTAAAACATGTACTTTTAATTTGGCACTTCAATTGTTAATGTCTTGTACGTTATTTTAATCCTTAATTATCATTAGCAAGTAAATGTACGTGATCTTCAATTATTCAAAATTAATGCATGCATTTTTTTTATGATTCTACTAGCCACAACAATTCGGTTGAGTTAACCATTCGGTTTGACCGAATAGTTCATTATTCGTAATCTTCCAGCAACAATTTGTGAGTACTGCTCGAACTACTCTTTACCATTTTGGAAGTGTGTTAATTATGATTTGTAAGAATTAATTTCAATTTATTTATAAAGAATTATCAGTTGTAACGGTTGTGTTGAATTTTAGATTAAGTTGTCTGTTATGGAGGTTACATATCTGATTTGTTACCAATGTAAATGCCATGAATTAATGCTATTTATTTCTCCATCTCCTATAAAAGCTTGGTGTCGGGCAAAATTGTTTTGGCTGCTGAATTTTTAACTTGCAAAATCTATTTTCTTTCTTCCTCTCTCGATTTACTCTTTTCTTACAAAGAAATTTCTGCCTAGTTGAGACATACAAATGTTGGGAGGCATCTTGCTATCAAAATCACATTTTGACATAGTAGTAAACCCTTAGAAATATTATTAAGTTAGATTTCTATTTTGGCAATGCAATGGGTATGTTGTTTGAGAGTGTATTTGTGGAGATCACGGGTGTAATGTATCACTTTTGGAAAGCCAGAAACGGTGCAGTTTGGGATGCACGATTGCTGGTATCGAGTGTAGTTTAGCGTGATGCACAAACCCTCTTAAGGCGGAAACTTTAGCCTATAAAGAGGTGTTATCTTGGCTGAAGGACCTTGGGCTAACCTCAATTGTTTTGTAGACCGACTGTTCTTCCCTTCATCGCAATCTGACAACTCCTATGGTAGAATTGAGATCATATGCTGGCATTGCCACTAGTGATTGTAGGGACCTTATTCGTTCATTTGTTGCTTGTTCTATTATTCTAGTTTCTAGAGCTGTCAATATTCTAGCTCATACTCTAGCTTCAATGGCCTACTCACAGGCTAACATTCTATATTGGGACTTTGTTCTGCCTGATTTTATTTATGCTCTTATGCATTAATCTATCATAGTTGATTTTTGGCTTTCAAAAAAGTTAGAATGAAAACAATTAATAACTAACCTAGCTACCTGTGATAGGAGTTACTAAAAATAATGTTAACTAGGTATAGGACAACATATTATTTTACAACTAAGTTGTTTCTCCAACTCAAATAGGTAAAGATAATACATAGTAGTTATATTACTTTTTCTTTCTGGTCGGAAATGGAAACGATGAATTTATAGTTTATTTTTTTAATAATATTTTATTAATTCAATAATATAGTATATATGAATATATATATATATATATATATATATATATATATATATATATATATATATATATATATATTAATTCTTCAAATCTATCAATACCATTAAAGAAACAGATTTTGAATTTAGACCTCCCATTCAAATAAGGAACTTAGCTTAAATACTAACTAGCTAGACTACATATCGATATTGGCCTAACTATTTTGCGTACGGAATCGTCAGAATGCTGATTACTATTAAAAAAAATAGTAAAAGAAGGATACATTTTAAAATTTGACAAAATTAAAACTCTCCAATGAATTTTATCAAATTATAAAATGTCCACAAATTTTTATTATTTTTAATATTTGACATTGTAGATTTCTTTCAAAATGTAAACTTATATTTAAATAATTTTATACCATTTTATATAATTACGTCAATTGTGACAACCTTTCATATTTATCGATTGCCTGTACTGTACTCAATTTTGTTATAAATTAATAAAATAAAACAACTTTAAATTATACAAAGTTTTAACAAAAGTAACATTAACATTACTTCATCGTATATGTACAAATCTCGCACTATTATATCTCGTGTTCTCAATTAAAAAAAAATTAAATAAATAAAAATTGTGATGTATTATACATTTATACTGCTGAGTGTTATATTTTATTCATGTGTTAGGTATTTGTGATGATAAGAAACAAAAACCAGAATTCCCGAAAGACTTGACTTGGCCTTTTTGTAAAATGATAAAATAAAATAAAATAAAATGAATGGATGGACGATGTTGCACGTTTGATGAACAGATGGAATACACACAAAAGAAAATAATTATAGAGAGAGAGAGAACAGTGAAGTTAACACTAAATTTAATAATAATAATAATAATAATGATAATAATAATAATAATAATAATAATAATAATAATAATAATAATAATAATAATAATAATAATAATAATAATAATAATAATAATAATAATAATAATAAAAAATAAATAAATAAATAAATAAATAAAAGTAGGTCAGGATATGAAAAAACGAGGAAATGTCGATTTCCACCATTGGTTGTTCTTAATAATTGAGTAACAACATACATCTTTGCAGGGAACTCCCTTTCCTTTTTAATAATTTAAATGCAACCCTTAATATTTTTTGTCTTTTCCAATCCTTTCTCATTGTTTCTCTCTCTCTTGATCTCATATTTAAGGAATTCAAACCCTTTTCATTTTGAGTCAATGCCTTTTATAGAGATGTGCAGAATTTGGTAAAAATAAGGTTAACGGATCGATTCAAAAAAATTTGATTAATTATTTTTTAAGTGAAATATTTCACTTCAATTAATGGTTAAGGACTTTTAATAGTTAATTTTGGTTAACGATTAATTCGGTTAATCGACCAATTAACTTAAAAAAGTCTGTTCGATTAATTCAGAAATAGAAATTTTGTTTCAATTAATAGGTAAAGCATTTTGTATATTCGGTTAATTCGCTTTGGTTATTCACCGAATGAACACCCCAGCCTGTTGATTTATCCTTACATTTTCATTTGTGAAAAGAGTATTTTTCACTTTTGGTCCCCTAATTATTATCCGATCCTCTTCCAAATTTGGTTCCTAACTATCAATTTTTCTATTAAATTCTTGTCATATTTTGTTCTTCCAATCAACTTTTTGACTAATTTTGTTTGATTTTCATCAACACTAATCCTAATACCACTATATCTCAGTGTGTAGTCTACATGTTACTCAAATTTAAATAACAAAAATGTCATTTCAAATAACTAACTTGACTATCATCATGTGGAAGCTAGATTCCAACTAATATATGATTGAAAAAGATCAAAAGGGTCAAATGTGATAGAAATTGTAGTCATGCAACAAATATATATGAAAATTTTGATAGTCAATGACTAAGTATATATAGAAGAGTTACGATATGTATATAATGAAATTCAAGCTCACTTAATTTTAAGTTTTCAAAAAGTTTTTAAAGTCTATTCAACCCCTTCCTCCTCCCTAGACTTTAACTTGATGGGGACCTTTTTTTATTTAATAAAAAAAAAAACAAAAACCTTAGTTAAAATAATAAATAAAAACAATGATGAAAATAAATTATCAATAACAATAACAACAACAATAATTATTATAATAACAATAATAATAATTATTATTAAAATAAATTTATTTAAAAATGTATACCTAAAACTAAGGCAAAAACTTAGGTGAGATCGTTTCAAAGATCATTGTCGGTGAGACAGATCGGGTCAAGATGAAATGCAATACTTATACTAACAAATGTAATACTAAATCAGGAATAAAATATTTATTACTTATATAGAAAAATATAATACTTTTGAAGAAAAAATGTAATATTTTTACATCAAAATATAAAAGTATTACATTTGTCCTCAAAAGTATTATATTTTCTCTTATAAGTAACAAACATTTTATTCCTCATTTAGTATTACATTTGATAATATAAGTATTACATTTGCATATTGACCTGACCTGCCTCACACAAGTATAACCCTAAAACTAAAAGTAATTTAACAAAAATTCAATAAATAAAATAATGTATTATATTGTTTAAAGTTGTTTTATATGTTATCTACTCACAATAAATAATTAATTCACCAAACACTATCTTATAACACTTTAATTTAATATTATCAATTAATAAACACAATCATCTAAGTTTCAAAAAAAAAAAAAAAAAAAAAAAAAAAACAAAGCACAATCATCTAACATCTAATTACCATACACCCTATATGCATGAATCTATTGTCCATTTTGTGGTACAACAGAATAAGTATAGAATCTTTGTCCTTGTAAATAGAATAAGAGAGTAGTGTTTGAAACATTAAATAATTAGAGGGGACGGTTGAATAATTTTAAAAATTTGAGGGAGATCCCTTATCCCTTTTTCTTTATATTTTCAAGTCCTTATCCTTCCAACTAAATGTGAATGAGATCGAATTAGTCTGCGTAGGAATGGTCAACAAATAATTTGGTTTCAATTCTATGCTTAGTCTAAGAAAGTTTGTCCAGAAAAGACAGTATATTTTAATATTGTTTATAGAACT